GTCCTACGCGGACGCAGATTGGACCCGTCATTCTACTTCGATTATCCCGCATCTGCGATCGACTGTATGTGTGCGAGGACCTAGACATGGAGTGGTCTGGCACTGACTGACGTCAAATCGTTGTGTGCCAGTGTCTCCTGGGGTGTTGCCTGATGTGGATGCAGCTCGTCGGCGCTGCGACTCGAGCTGGCGGTCGTCCTTCGGACCCGCAGAAACATCTGCTGAGCTCGATGAGCTAGGGGAACTACAGGAAAGAAGTGCAGGAAACGGAGGCCGGTCATGCACTCGCCGATACCTCGTTGCTCTGTCATCGTCTTTGCTGTTGCATGATCCTTATCTGGCCTGCCGGCGCCGCGGCTCGAGCTGGCGGTCGCCCTTCGGGCCCGCGGGAACATCTTCTGAGACAAGTGGACGCCGCCGCCTTACTTGCAGGCAGCGCATTGCATTCGCGGACAGCAGCATGGCAGACCGCAGTGAGATCCTCAGTCGCGTGGTGTTGCCAAGCCTGGTGGAGACGCGCGTGATCGACCTGAAGTCCCAATCGCGCGTGCACTGTACCTGCGTGGCGTTCAGGCACGCGCGTGATGCTGCTCGCTCCGCGTTCAACCAGTACGTCGCCAGTGCAACTTTGGACGATGGACAACCGATTGATGATACGCGACCCCGGCCTTGAGTTTCTTTCCTGCGGGCCGCCCGCAGACCTGGCGGCGCGCCTGCGAGCATTCAGCTCCCGCGCTGAAATGTGCGGGAAGGAGGCGTGGAAGATAGCGGGCGAGCTACGCCTCGTTCGTTCCTTGCACTCTAAACCAGTTTTATCATGTGGGACTCTGCGACGACATGGCGCAGGCAGCGCTGCGGGTTTAGCTCGCGCTCGAAAAACGCGGCAGTCTTCTGTCTCCCCCCGCCACTTTCATCGTCGTCCTATTCCCCGCCTCACCTACTCCATGCATGCTGCTGCTTCCGCGATGGCCTTTCGCCCCCCCCGCCCTCCATCCCACCCCTCTCCTACCCCTCGTTCCCGTGCCCGTTCTTCTTCGATCATGGGGTCTCAAGCCTCGTTCTTTCGATCGTCGTCCTGTGAAGCGTGCAACGAATGCGCATCCCATGTAGCTTGCGCAGCAAATCGCCGCGTCTACATTGTCGTTGTTCTTGCTAATGTTGGCATACTCCTCTTGCCATTTGATGCACGTTGGTTGGGTGCGTCGCAGGGTATTTTTTTTGGTAGTGTCACAGGTTTCGTGGCTCCAAGACGCGATTCCATTGTTTTTAAATGGGTTTCGGCAGTCGCACTCCTGGGAGGCCCCTCCGCCCACCCAGGCCCCAGACAATAGGGGAACCAAGAGGACAAGAGACAATAAGGGAACCAAGAGTCCACAAGATAACATGGGGGAGCCAAGAGGTCAAGAGACAATGGAGAGACGAAGAAGACAATACACAATGGGGAAACCAAGAGGACAAGAGACAATGGGGAAACCGAGAGGACAACAGCTACACCAGCATCATCGTTAACGCATGCATCAGCATCTACATATACAACTACATTAACACGTATACATATATATATATAAACGCTGATCTACGCATGCACCGAAGACACATCACGTCACATAGTCTTAAAAGTCACCCTTACCGGGGGGGTCTCGAGTTTCGGCCTCCAGGGGCCCTTCCCGGGCTTTGGGGCAGTCAAGAAACGAGGCAGGATGAAAAGCCGGTCTTAGGGAAGGGGTCGAGACTTCTGGGGGTCGACGTGATGAACAGATCATGGCGTCGGGGGTCCGGGTATGGGGGACGCACCGACCCCCAATCGCCCCAGGAACGTGAGGAGGCATCGTCCGAGGCCCATCGCCGATCTGGCGGCGATCTATCACCGATTCTAGGTCGTCGCGTCCCCTCTCAATTCTGCCAGTCCCCGCTTATCGTTGCCCCTCAGCGGAGAGCAGAGACGCGGCCTGCGACGCTCCTGGCCGCGGGCCCGGTGCAGGCGCAGCGTGGAGGGGGGTGGGTGGGCTCGAGGGCTGAGGTTCGAGGCTTCGAGGTTCCGAGGTCTCGGTTTCGAGGGCTCAGGTTTGAGGTTCGAGGTTCAGGGGCAACATGAGGAGGGATGGGCTCAGGCTCCATGTTCGAGGTGCAAGGTTTTCACACGTTTCCGTTGGTTTGCAGCGGTGTTCCAGCCTCGGGGTGCTCGTTTGTCACCAGCAGCTGCGCCTCGCCGCGTTCTGGCAGTGCCCCGATCGTGTGGGGGATGCATCGGGCCCCTTCGCCAATCGCCCATTCATTGTCGATAGAGGCCCGATGGCCCGCCCGGCCCAGGAGCGTGCGGATTCTCTAATATTGGGCGCATGTGGCCGATCTATAGTCATTGTATCGCCGATTGAAGCTCGATGTTTCCCTTCTGAGCTGGCCTCCCCCATCGATTTCCCTCAGCAAGGCGACGAGTCCGAGGCGGTGATTTTCCGCAGAAGCACCCTCAAGGTTCTATGTTCGGGGGACCGGCAGAGGTCGGATACGGATATATTCGGGCCTTTGCGGGGGAGCAACTACATCCATATTAACGCTGTGCGGTTTGGCTGCGCAAGCCACGGTTTCTCGAACGGGCTCGTCTATTGCAGGTTGGTCTTCGCGTGGCTCCAGGTCTGTTGATGTTGGGTGTAACTCGTCGGTGCCATCTTTCGCAGGGGAGCGCGATTGTCCTGAAGGAGAGGACAACAAGACGTCCCAGAGGATCGATCCCCCAGGCGGCGGTTCTGGAGAACCCCCGCCTCGTAACGAGGACTGCAGTCGGGCCCGGTTACCAGGGTCAACCCTGCAACATCAATCAAGGGTGCCCTCTTTTTGTGTTCTGCCCCGCTCGGGCGTCCTCTCCAGCCGGCCCGCACCGCTCTGGACGGCCGGGGGTGCGGCTGGGTAGCGCGCTCTGCGCGACACACCGTGCCCGCGGGGATGCCCAGGCCACCAGTCGGCGGCGAGCCTGGGGGGAAGCGAGAAGGCAGGAGAGACGGGGCGGGCCTTCTCAGAAGACTCGCAAGCCCCCTTGGCCTTCTGGGAAGTTTTCTGAGCCTTCCCCGAAGGCACTGGACCCTTATCGGAACGCCGGAGTGCTGCGGAGAAAATCCGCCGCCTTCCGAGAAAGCCTTCTCCTTCGCATTGCCCCCCTCTCGCTCGCGGCCGAACCAGATGGGGCAGGCCCGGATGCCCACAGGAGGCAGAGATGCCACCCGAAAGGGGGGGGGCGGGCCCAGAATCCCACGCGGGGGCAGAGACGCAGCCAGAGTCAGAGTCGCCTCGCCAGTAGAGCCTCCTCTTGAATATTTGTGCCATATGCACGCATTTTCTCGCAGCCGCACAAAGTTCATGTATCCTCAAGTCTGCATTCGCCGGACTGCAACTGCAATTGCGAAGAAAGGTTAAGATACATCATGTGGGGTTCAGTATCCATGCGCTGTCCTGCAGAAAGTACCTCAGAGCCGCCTCTTGAGGAGCAGCTCGGGCGTCGCGTAATGGGGGGAGGAAGGGGGGGGCGAGAAATGGCGGGGCAGCGAGGGCTGCAGATCGGGGCCCTCTATAGGCCCCCAAGGGGGGCCTGCAGGGACCGAAACGTGCACCCTTCTCTCCCCCCCCCCCCCTTTATCGCCCCCCCCTTCTCGCCCCCCCCTCCCCTCCCTTCTCTCCCTCTCCCCCCTTTGTCGCCCCCCCCCCCTCAGTCGGAGCGATGCCCAAGAGGCGCAGCCAGAGCCGCCGGCAGAGCCCGCCCCCCGAGGAGCAGCGGGTCCCCCGCCCTCCCGGGCGGCCGAGGGCGGAGAGCAGAGCGCCCCGCCGGGGCGGGGGCGACGCAGTCGCCCACTCAAAATTACACGCACACGTATACGTGCACACACAGGTGTGGGCGTTCGCTGAGGAGCGTGCCCAGGAGGCTTCAGACCCTGGAGGGTTCCTCACCTGATGAGGGCGGCGCTGATGTCCATGGCCAATCCACGGTTGCCTTTCCACTGGCTTCCAGACCCTGGATTCCTTATCGAAGTTTTCCTTCCCCAATGTCATCACCGTATACACATATGCACGTACGTATAGGCACGTGCAGTTTTATGAGACGCGGTGCGGCTGATTTGCGCCACGTTGAAGCGGCGGCGACCTCCAGCGCGGGCGTTCGATGTTGAACGACGGCAGTGGCCACTCTCTCGGAGTCGGCCGCCATCGAACGACCTGCCTATCGGAAAGCCTCGATCGTTCAAGGGTAAAGGCGATACCCGGTGAGAGACACCAACGCAGACGCCATCGCCACGTGAACTTGCGGCGCCACCATGGCTGGCATGAGGGGGACCCTCAAACGGTGCGGTGACCACACCGTGTGGTGAGTCAGTGGGGGGTCTGGGTCACCACACGGTGTTGGGACTCGGGTCGTTCTCCGAGGATGTCTCGGGTGACTCGGGCCTCCAGGGTTCCAAAACGTTCCGGTGACATATTGTGCGGGATTCCGATGTCACCGAACGGCTTGTCATTGCACCGTTGAGGGACCCCCTCAGGGTCATTTGGCGAGCGGGCAGCGGGCTTTCGCAGAAGCGAGCGTGGCAGAAGTTCAAGGGCAAGGCGCACCTCCACGCCCAAGGGGCGGGCGGTGGGGGGGGCCCGCGCAGAGCTCGAGCATGCAAGACACGTACGAATCTTGTAGTTTTTCCCGCCGGGGGCCTGCAGCAGCTTCCAACCAATCAGTTGGCATGTTTGTGTACTGGTGCTGGCACTGTAAGTTCACGGGGTCGGCGATCAATAGGGGGGTGAAGAATGTGCACCTGTTGTGCGCCTGGGGGGGCCATAAAGGGGCCCCTCCTGGGGCCCAAGAGGGGCACGGAACAGCGTCGCCCCCCATGAGGCAACGCCTAAGACGTGCGTTTTGGTCTTTCGATCCCCCTCCCTAGGGAGTGAGCGCGGCAGAGCAGCGGGAGACTGGAGAGGCAGAGCGCAGACGAGCGGGCCCACGCCCGCGCCTGCCCCGCCTCGCGTGCCAGGAGGCGGCCGCTGCCAGTGCGTGAAACGCGGCTCTCCGCTCTCCAGGCCCTAGCGCGCCTTCTCTCGCGAGCGTTTGCTGCGTGCAGCTGGCGCGGACGAAGGGTCTGGTCGCAAATGTCTAGCCCTCCCAGATGGGGTCCGAGGAGATAGGGGTCGGAGGATCGCCCTGCATCGCCGACGTATCGGCGATGCGGCTCGATTTAGAGCCCGATTTTCTTCAGGCCGACGTCGACGATGCATAGCCGATGCATCGGCGATGCGGCACGATTCTCCGTCCCCACCTGCTCGGATCCCTTTGGGAGGCCTTTGCACTGGGGGTCGAAGAGATGGTGCAGGAGGAGGAGTTCAGCAGCGAGCCACTGAGGGCGGAACCCATCAGAGCGTCTGGGCTCATCGGAGCCAACAGCGGGTCCTCGAGGGCCCCTCCATGGCTGGCGGATCGCCGATGCGCTGCACGCGTGCTGGGAGGAGGAGGAGGAGGAGGAGGAGGAGGAGGAGGAGGAGGCGTGAGGAGGAGGAGGAGGAGGAGGAGGAAAAGAGGAGGAAAAGAGGAGGAGGAGGAGGAGGAGGAGGAGGAGGAGGAGGAGGAGGAGGAGGAGGAGGAGGAGGAGGAGGAGGGGAGGGTTTCGGCCGAGGGAGGGAGCCCCCCCCGCCCCGGGAGCGGGCGCAGGCCCCTGTGCCAGCCGACCCCATGCGCGCAGGCCTCCGCTGACGCCAGGGAATCGCAGCGTCGAGACCGCTTGATACGGCGGTTCGCCGTGTATCTTGCGCAGCCAGAACAGGCAAGCACATCACACTTCGAGACTGCAGAAGCATAGCTATCACTCCCCACGATAGGGTCCGTGCGCCACACGTACGTGTACATGTGGAACGTATGGTGGCAGATGTCATGCTGGTACACTTGCTGAGGCCCCCCAGTTCTGTTTTGTGACCAGATGTCCCGCCATACGTTCCATAGCCTTTTTCTGGGGACAGTCGTGGCTGCCAAATTGTGACCCGTGCGAGACGAGCGGGTGTGATAGCGAACGCCTGGCTCAAGACAAATTTGTGCGAGATGGGCAGACATAGCTGACAAAAGTGGCCGTGGCAACAGGCAGTGACATGAGCAGTGGCAGCAACGGGGCAGCAGATGTCAGCGACGTGCAAGAAGCGCGTCAGAAGCGACCAGGAAAGCGACCAGGTCCAGAGCGCGCGAGAAGCCAGAACCAGAGCGTGCGAGAAGAGGCGGCAGTGGCAGCGGACATGGACGCGAGCATGGAAGCCCCAACGTCATCAGCATCAACAACAGACTGGGACACACCGGCGCGAGAACAGGCAGTTGCAGCGGACTGCGGTGCGAGTGCAAGGCTCCAGGCATCGTCAGCTGCAGGCTGGGGCGCGCGCCTGCGAGAAGAGCCAGCGGCCGCGGGCATCGGCGCTAGGACGGGATGCCAGACGCCATCAGCTACAGGCTGGGGCACCCCCTTTCCGAAAAGAGGCGGCAGCTGCAGCGGTGAGCGGCGCGAGGACGGGAGCCCAGGCATTATCGGCTACAGGTTGGGGCGCACACTTGCGAGAAAAGGCAGTGGCAGTGGGCAGCGGCGCGAGGGTGGGAGTCCAGGCGCCATAACTGCAGGGCCGAGAGAAGAGCTGGCGGCCGCGGCGATATGCGAGCATTCTTCGTCGATGGCCCGGAGCTTCGTCGACGGAAGATGGCGGCCACGGCAGCAAATTGAGGAACGGAAGTGCGATGACACAAGCCAAAACCAGAGCGCGCGAAAAGCGACTGCAGAACCAGAGCGCGCGCAAAGCGAGAAGCAGAGGGAACAATCCAGTGCCGCCAGACCACCGGCGGAAGCTTTCCAAGAAGACCGACTTGGATGCCCCGCGCCATCAGCTACACGCGCGGCGCCGCGCGTGCGAGAGAAGGCGGCGAAGGACGAGCCACGAGACGAGCCGCGAGAAGAGCTACGAGACGAAGCTGGCCCCAGCGCCCTGATTCGGGATGCGGAGCCTTACGTGCCCTACGAGCACTGCGTCTGGGTCCCCACGCAGGAGTTGGCGAGGAGGGCGTCAGAGAGGCCGAGGCCACGGACCCCCCAGCCTTCCGTGAAACGGCTGGCCCGCCAGGCCCGCCGCGCCAGAGGACCCGTCGGGTTCAGGCGCCGAGGAAGGCTCGAGGAGGAACCCCAGGGTGGCCTCGGGGACGACACCGAGGAGAGCGGCGAGGACGACGGCTGCTGCGAGTACGAGAGCCACGAGAACTCCCCTGTCGACGAGGACGACGGCTACCACGAGTACAAAAGCGACGAGTGCGAGAGCGATGCGTACGGCGAGCACGCCAGCGCAGCGCGCCGAGCTCTACGACTACGAGCTGAGCTGGACGCCGATTCCGACATCGACGATACTGAGCTGAACGCCGAGCCGGCGACAGTTGAGGATGAGCAGCGAACGCCGATGGGCAGAGGCCCCAGGCGACGCTGGAAGCGGCCGAAGAGCCGAGCAGGCAGCCGCCTCCGCCCGCCCGCGCCGCGGCGCCGCCGAGGGAGCCGCCCGCGGCTGAGCGGGCGGCCGCGCGGGCGCGTTAGGATGGGCTGGAAGCCGGCGGCCGAGGGGGGGGGGCAGCGGTGTCCCTGGGACGCTGCCTTCGCGACGGTTCCTAGCGGCAGCGGGCAGCCGAGGCGCCGCGCGATGATGCCCTTCGGTCAGGCCAGCTGCCGCCCCGGAGTCGACGGAGTCTCTGGGGACGGCCGCCCGCGGCCGCGGCCCCAACCCCACCCTGGCTAGAATAGTGCCCTCCCCCATCCTCCACTCCCCGGTCTGAGTTTTCGAGTCTTCCTGAAGTGTCTTGAGTTTCTCAGTTGTTCTCGGGGGGGCGCCAGAGCCTGGCTCAGCATGTCGCCGCTCAGCTTTCCGAGCGGCCTCCGGAGGCTTCCAGGCTGCGCCTAGACGGCCTTGAGCAAGCTTCAGTGGGCGCTCGAGGCCCGAAACGAGTATCCCGAGAGGCAGAAATCATTCATATCGCTTTGGTTTTTCAGTGTTTCTGGTGCGCTCTTTTTGTACACCCTCTGAGACGCCACGACGACCGGCCCGCAAGGCCTCCGACACCGCTTGAGCACGGGCCCAGCGGTTCCCAGGGAGGCCCCGGGACGGCACGCCAGGGCTGCACGACGGCCTCAGGGGCGCTCAAGGCGACCCACGAGGCCCTCAAGACGGCCCCAAGATGGCTTCCAGAGGGAATGCATGAACCGAAATTTCGAGCCCTTCGCCCCATGAAGCTCCCTGGAGGCCTCAAGGACGGCCCCGGGCAGGCCCCATAAGGCGCGCGAAGCCTCAGACGAGTGTTCGGAAAACAGAAATCATAGATTTCGCTTGAATATTTTAATGTATTCGGTGGCTTGTCTTTGTTGATATTCTGACACGCCACGACGGCCCGCAAGGCTTCCGACTTCGCCTCAGGACCAGCCCGGCGGCCCCCAAGAGGGCCCAGGACAGCCTAGCACGGCTGCGTGACGCCCCCAGGAGCGCCCATGACGGCCCACAAGGCTTTGAAGACGGCCCCGAGCTGGCCTCCAGAAGGGGGGCATGCACCGAAATGTTGACTTTTTCGCCTCTTGAAGCTCCGCGGAGGCTTCAGGAGGGCGCCAGGACGGCCCCGGGCAGGCTCCACTAGGCGCCCAAGGCTCCAGACGAGTGCCCCGGAGGCCAAAATCCATGATTCTTTCTGGTGTTTCAACATTCTTTTGGGTTCCTCCACTCTTCAAGCTTCCGACGATCCACGACGGCCCAAGAGGCTTTCAACACAGCCTCAGGAGGGGCCAGAGGCGCCCAGGAGGGCCCCGGGACGGCCTAACAGGGCTCCTCGTCGGCCGTACGAGCGCCCGAGATAGCCTCAGAGGCATTAGAGATGGCATCGAAGTTGCTCCCAGAGGGGGGCAGCATGAACTGACAATTTTCATTTTTCGCCCCAACAGGCCCCCCGGAGACCCTGAGAAGGCTCCCAGATGCTGCACGGTGGCCCAAGAGGACCACATGAGGTCCCCACGACGCCCCAAAAGGGTCCAAAACCGGCCCCAAGAGGCCAAACAACGGCCCCCAGAGGCCCCCGCGAGGCCTCCTTCGACATCCCTCCTTCCTTGCCCTGTTCCGCCCAGCTCCCACCGTTGTTGTTTCGTTCCTCCCCCATCTCACTTCGCAGCCGCACCGCCATGACAACATCTCCGAATGGTTCATTTTGGCTGGTCTTCGTGCTTTGCAGCAACCTTTGACGTACCCTGGCAACCTCCACGAGGACTTCAATACGGCCCCACACACCATGTTCCCAGGGAGCTTTCAGGAATCTGATTTTCACCGCTAGTCACGGCCCAGAGAAGTGAAAGAGAAAAGGCCTAGAAACTGCCACCAAGAGGGCCCCGCGCGGCTTCCGCTAGCATCCCACCGTGCATTTTGCAAGCTTTCGAACATCGATCCAGGGACGGCGGCTGGATGGTCCGAAGCCCAGTCTGATCTCTGTCGTAAACGCCCCGCGCTCTTTCTCATCCCCCACCGAACATCTTACAGGGTTTCGGCCCACAGCCCAGGACGGTGGCGGGATGGGCCCAAACCCATGTTGGTCGTTGTCGTAAGCCCCCGCGGTCTTTCTCACCCTCCACGTCGTAGCCTTCCTAGCTCCAGCCGCCTTTAATTTGTCAGTACACGCCTCCTCCATTGCAGTCTTATGCTCAACCGCCCCACCCTCCCTCCCAAGGTTTTTTGAACGATTCTATTGGGCCACCCGTCGGCTTTCCAGCTTCATTTCGGGTATATTGGAATCCCCACCAAGGCCCCAACGCGGCCTACACCATCGTGTTCCCCAAAAGTGTCTGGGAACAATTGTCGCTGCCAGTCCGGCGAGGGGTACCGAAGAGGAGGGGAAGAAACCGCGCAGTCAGACCGAGCCGCCCAGTTCTAGACGCTTCGCGCATCCCCACCAGCAAGCAGTACGGTGCCCCAGTTTTCTGCTGTTAATTAGTCTGTGGCGCGTACCCGCTTCGACTTGACACGC